GAAAGTATTACCTTTTTTGGAATGACTAAGCTTACAATTGCAAACAATTCTGTAACTTTGGTGTGAATACAAATTGAAACATGGGGATATCTACTTAGCAAAATTTTTCTTCGCAGACCTTGATTTTATAAGAAGTTAGAAAGTCCACTGATGTCCATAGTCAATTTTAATGCAGTTTGCCTTTTTTCCAAACTCGCGCTATCCTCTCCAGACGATCAAATTTCAAAACATTTGTTTTTAACACTGACTGCAGTATTTTGTGAATTAAAATTTGTTTAATGAAACTTATGGCTGGAAAGTGAGATCGTGTCGGGCAGTACTTTTCAAAATTACTTCTCGTCTACAGTCATCGAATTAAAATTTTATAACCACATTAACTGTTATCGCAGAGTTGTTTCTAAACGCTAAAAAGTTTCTAGAAACCTCTGTTAATAAACAGTGTCCATCAGCCGTATCTTTTCATATTATAAACTCCTTTGTTGTTAACGATCTCCAGTTGATAACATTAGCTTTTGCATGCTTTGTTTTAATTTTCGTCCAGTGTGAATCTTTACTCACAAAACCGATGATTTGTTCCTTCCTTTCTCCACAGAAGGTATTCCTTTACTGTAAATACAATTCTTTAATTGCGTTGCTAAGAAGCAGATAAATACGATATAGCTCTTCAGTTATGTAAAATAATTGTATGGCTTGATGTGTTTGTAGCCAATATAACGCAGAATGCTTATGGAATGTAAACATTCATGAATTTCTGCAATTTGTTCAGGAAAACTGGAAAAATCGAGAATTATATGTAATTATGGCAGAAAGTTGATATTTTGCCAGACCTACATAGAATGCGCGTTTGTCATGGCAACGTCAAAAATCACAGGTACACAACTGACATCAATATTTCCGCGGAGGATGAATGAACAGCTACTGAAAATTTCAGCCTCTTAAAGTAAATCGACTTTTAAGAACTTTGAAAAAACCTTATGGCTGGTTTGGCATCCCCATCCATCCTTCCCCCACCCCTTGTACGTCCGAGGGCTATTCCACACAGAAGCGTTGTTTAGTTCACTTCGAAAAAGATTGGAAACAGGCCCTATCAACCTCTCAGTGGGTCATGTATGTGAGATCCATCGGAAAATTTACCGAAGAATCGAAATTTCAACGCATGTTTATCCTCCGCTTTCTAGCCAGCCTATACCTTGGGTGCGAGATTTCCGGCTGAACGAATCCCACCGTGCGAAAATCTGTATCCAGCTCCAAAATTCTTAAAATCAAAATGCAGGCCAACTCGTGTGAAAAGCCTGCGCGCGGCATGAAGGCAAATGGGTTACTGACTGGATCAGTTGGTCAGATTCTTTTTTTGAGTGTTTATGAACTGACACGCACTGGAGCGTAATTTAATTTATAATTATGTAAACAAACAACAACAACAACAACAACCAAAAAACGATATCAATATACAAAAGTTAAACGATGAAAAGTCAAAGACCTGACTACAATGCTGACACAACGTGGTTTATTAAAACAATATTTCGGCTGGCCAGACCAGCCTTCTTCAGGTTTAGATGTTACTAAATTATAAAAATGAAATTACAATATTATATAATGGTGGATGTCGTAACACATATTTCGAAACTAGATGGAGTGGGGGAAATGACGAACAAAACAAATTAAATAAAGTAAAGATAAAACGGGTCTACGTAGGTTACAAGTTTCACGATTATGCAATGTACAGCCACCCCGCTCGAACAAGTTGGATCAATAAAGGATCACTTCTCAAGTTTCTTGCGGGACATGGCGGGCAACCCCATCTTGTCCGCTTGGCCCACTTGGCGGAAAGCTAATTACAGTGCAAGATTTGGTTCATCTTGCAGGCTTGCGGACTAGCCATGTAACAAGCGCTATTTTTTAAAATTGTTATGATAAGCAACTTCTGATACGGTCAGACACTTAAAAAAGTGAGAAAAAAAAGCGCTCTGCTCATTGCAATGTAACTCATCAACAGAAAATGTTGCTTAGCTAGGCAACTGCCCTAAACAGGAAGGAGAAGTTGGTAACGCGTTACTAAATTAAAAATCACATGAGGAAATGTTATATCAAAGTTAACAGAGGGGAATGGTTATGAAATTCGACAAAGTTCTTTATTGTGTGTTTTTGTTCTCTTTTTTGGCCTTGACCGTGCACAAAACACAATAGTTGTTTACTTCTGACTGAGGAACTAACCAATAGAAACATTTTGGTTACGTAATTCAAGCATAATGAATGAGCGCAAAATAAAAGATTGTGTACGGTTGTGGACCTTCCAACATAAATCCTGCCGCTTTTGTTTCCTACTTTGATGTTTGTCGGGTTTATAAACGTTCCCCTCTGTAAACTATGGTTATATAGAGGCGGAACGGTAACTTATAAACTTCTAACCAATGATGTGCTTCAATTCTGCTCTCGAATACAGATGTCACAAGAGGCGATAATCTCTTGATGATACTCTCTTGGCAGTCATTGGGGATTCATAGGTCCTGGTTAAAATGGCTAATGACGGCTTTTCTCTTTGTTTTCGTCACAGAATTTTCATCGTACAAGTGTAATTCCACTTCCTACACTTTACGTTCTCTTCAACAATCCATCACGGAAAATGCGTGCCGTGGATGTTTGGTCAACGAGATCAAGCTTCCCATTTGCCAGCGGCGTCTTTACGCACCAATGGCCTCGTGTATTGACCCTCAGTCATGGAGGTTCTCGTTTAATTTAAAAAGGTGGCCGGATGGCGATATTCCAGGTAGGGAAATGATAAGTATGGTGTCTGGACTATAACACTGGAGGAAAGTTTTTACCGTGCACACAGGCCATTGATCCCCCAACTCGGTCGCCTACAACGCTTGGACAAATTGTGTTGGAAAATGCGCAAAAAACACGAAATCGTAAACATAGTACCTACAGAATAGGTGTCAGCACCCCCATTCCCCCTTGCAATGTTGGACAGCGGTAAACTAGAAACTTAGGTTAGATGAAAGTGTTTTGTCAACATTGCACAGGGGTGGGGAGGGGCAAAAAAGGTACAGAATGAAAGTTTTCCAACCCTTATGACCAAGGTTGTAGGCAGGTCCCACCACACATTCACTGTGTACCAAAGGCTTGTCGAGAAGGCCATCTTTTATCTCATCCACGTAACGGATCTGCATGTGGCGTTTAATAAAATAGCTAGTGTTAACAGGCAATAGCCTTTTAAATCAAACAGGCGCTGAAAATTTTTAACGGTTTCAAGGCTACGCTCTTTTGAATCCTGTCAAAGCTGGCACATTTGTTGCGTGTCTTGCAGCTGTCAAAAGGAACTTTGAATGTGTGTTATATAACCTTGACGAGTGTTTCAAAGTTAGTTGTGTAGCTAGCTAGTATCGCCTTTGATGCTAGTCAAAAGTAATCAAAGTCCTTACCTCGTGCGCATGCATCCCAGTCCGCGTTATCGTTAGAGGAGGTTGGCAAATGGCATAGAGTGTCATTGTGAACAGATAAGCTCACACTGGCATGAAACTGAATATAACCTATAATATCCTTCGTATTGTTCAGACAGACGGTTGACACAAGTTGATTGGGCGGTTAAGTTACCCTTTTTAAGCCTCTGGCTCGGATACAGAGGGCAACTTCATCCCAAGTTTGAAACTAATACATTGATTGATTTGACAAATTGATTGATTGATTAGCTGCTCGTGTCATTTATAGATAACCAAACAGATTTGCATTCAGAAGGTTCAAATGACGACTATACCGGCACATTTACAATGCAGCCTTCAAAGCGCGCGCTTGTTGCTGACATGGGTGAGACAGCTTTTGTTCA